ATGACTTACTAGGTCTTCGAGGGGTCGGTCGTCTAATGCAGCGGAGTCTATGACGAGAGCGTTCCACTTCTCGTCATGCTTTGCCAGAGCAGCGTGGTGCTCGTCGTAAACGCGTACCCATTCACGAAGAACGTCGCTCAGAGCGCCATGGTCAGCCTCCAGAGCAGACTTGCCAGAGATGTTGTCGAGCCATCTCTTGGCCAGTCGAGGTGTGTCGCGGGGCTGCAGATCCAGTGAGCAGCTATCGTTAATAAAGACTGAAGAAGACTTACAAGAACAGATGCGACAAGGAGAATGAACGAAAGTGCAGACCACAGAATGACCTTGCGCTGGACAGCCTTGGGGTCATTGTGGTCTGCGGGCGGGACCTGTTCGTTGTTGGCAGCGTCCGCGGTGGTGTCAGCCGACTCAAACAATGTCGTGGAGTCAGCATGCTCCTCAAATGTCGGACCAAAAAACACTTCAGTCTCGACGTCGGGGAAGGGTCCGTCAACTGAAGAGTTGACAGAGCCGAAGGTCCAGTAGCCATGGTTGCCGGACGGGGCCCATTTGGCGAGGGGGTCCGGTGGATAAGGGATCCAGAGGGGCGCGAGGGTGGTAGGGCCAGACATATCAAGCGCAGAGGAAAACACATTCCCCAGCGTGAGGATCAGCTGAGGGTATTGGAGGGTGCCAGGCGTGGGGAATCGAACCCACGGCAAGGCGGAGAAGATGGCGTACAAGTACACCAGGATCACACGTAACAGGTACATGTTGCTCGAGAGAAAGACAGACAGACAACCTCGTCCAGTTCTTTTGCCCGCGGTGCGGGGCCGTCAGCCTCGTTGGCCAGTTTCGAACATGTAAGCCAGATTCATCGGCAAATATTCAGAGATTTCTAGAGCTGGATGCAGTTGACCTGAAGAAATTCGCCACATCTTTCGAGCAGCAAACCAAGAATTGCCACAGAATATGCGAATACTTCATGTCGTTCCGACCCGGAATCAAGACAAGATGGTAGGACGATTGCTCAAACTAACATATCTACAGATTGCGTTTAGAGCTGGAGATGAGGCTTTTGTGGATGTCGAGGACGGTACGTCAAGCTCGGACTGAACAGGACGAGACAGAGACGAGGTCGTATGCTCAGGATAAAATCCTCCGCCGGGCTTCGTGGCGCGAGGACCGGTTGATGGGGTCCTAGTCTAACCGTTCCCGGACCATTAGCACCTTAGACACGCGACGCGCCTTTTGTTCAGACCACCATGGCTTCCACCGTCTCGGGCAGCAAACGATGGACACACTTTCACTCTGCGCTTCAACACGCTATACAACGCTCGGCACACAAATGGACGTACGTGGACCAGTCTGATATGCTTGCAACTCCGAAGTACTGATGAATGCAGCGGACAGTTACGAGGATTTCACTGAATGCTTTTCCCTCTGGTGTGAAGAGCAGCCAGACGCGTCCTCGTCCGTTTTCAACACCGTGGCACAGCACATGGAGTCGTTGATTACGGTACGTGCCGTTCTTGCTAGAGCAGTCTTGTATCTCAACGTGACTTAGAATGACTGCGAAGACCTCCTGAAGAAGCTCGACGTGAGGCCCAACCTTGACAAGCTGCATGCCGTCGTTACAGAAGCGCGACAACGAAAAGCAGAAGGGTACTCTGGGAAGGACGTGTGGAAGGAGGACTTGAAGCCTGACGCGGCTGTACGCGCCAAACTCGTGCCACTGCTGGAAGAAGAGAGAGATAGGTTGAGAGCCCAGCTAGAGGAGGTGAGTTCGGGGACACAGCCACCAGTGACTGTGATCAACATAGCCTGATTGCTTTGCTATTCTAGCTTGATCAGCGCAATCGAAAGCTCCAGACTGAAATGCAAGCGAATGTTCAGGCGAGGGACGCGGCAGACGAGGAATGTGGGAAGTTGCTCGATGTCCTGGAGGAGGTATCCATTCTGCCTTTTTGTCCACGATGCGATATATACTTAACATGTGTTTAGGTAGAGAAGAAATGGAAGGAAATACCCCTCGAAGAAATCCAATCATGGGCCCTGCAGACCGCGGAATCACTGCCAGGAACTGCAGCACGATGATGCGCAATAAAACGAGTCTCACCCCAATCTATGTATGGATTTTTTATTTGTATTTTAGGTGCATGTGTAACTTAGCGTCTCGCACATTATATCGGATACCCTTGTATATAATTTGATTCACCAAGTAGTTTTTACACTTTTGGAGGGGAGTGCTGCTCAGAAATCGAAGCTCTGGTTGAGGTCTTCGTAAAGGTGTTCGTGCATGCCCGGTGGAAGGATGGGCTGTCCATTTTTCACGACATATCCTGAGGACCCGTATCAGCCCCGGCTACCTTTATATCAGGATTACTTACTGAACGGCATCTCTACGCTCTCCTTGGCATTGAAAACAATGGTGGGATGATCCTAAGTGAGTTTAGTATAGCTCCTGAATCCGGGAAGGAGACATCTACTCGCGACGTATGGGATCTTGTCAAGAGGGACTGGAAGCGAGTGAGTCTTATAATTCTTAAGAAATCGGGTGATTTACTTACTTTTGTTGCGCACCACAAGCTTGGTAACGCCGAGTGCAGTGTCGGTCGTCATTTGTATCGGGCCCAAGTGTCGACTTGGAAAGCCCAGCCCGCGCAATTCGCCAGTGCGGTCGCGCGGCGGGTCATCGCCTACTTCGTATAAGCAGCAAGCCAGCATTCTTAAGCACACACCTTACCAAGAATACCCTAGAGTGTGGTGTCAGAACACATGTCTCCGATCTGGGCAAAAAGCGAAGCTTACACCAAACAGGAACCACTCGAACCGGCCGTCGCCATCCTCTGGCGCAAGTGGCTTCTCGGCCTTCGGGTCGAGGAGACAGACCTTATCAAGTGAAACACCTCGCGCCTTCATAAGCTCTAGAACGCCTTCTGGGTGCGCAACACCCAAGGCAGCTTCACCCGCGGCGAATTGCGTGAAGAGTGATGTAAGAGTGTCGCACGAAGACTTGGATAGATGCGTGAAGTGAACCTCAGATTCTGGGCCCGCGAGAGTCCTCATATGCTGAAAAAACATGGCATTTTAACGGAATTTGAGATGCATATGGATGTTTCTGGACGACCTACGCTGTACTCGAGCTCTACCCACTTAGGAATGGCTCGGGACGTATCTTCGTCCTCTTCCATGTGCTCTATGGTGGCATATGCGTCAGCATGTGTGGGAGCTCGCAGTTACATATTGTATTGCCTATTACATATGCGAAACCCATTTGGTGCTCCCGGCAGCAATCCTGAGCGAGCCCGATGGTGGAGAAGTCGCAGACCACTGAGCCCAAATTTGGGATGGCGGGCTCACCACGTGATGAATATTAATATTTGAGCCATTTTCAACAACAACTTCTTCTCGACCCCGATCTGCTCGACCTCCGACTCCGACCTGCTCGCCTAGCTTGCACTTGCCTGACTTCCAATTTTCTGTGGAGGTTGTTGTACCCATTATGGCACAGAATACTAGTAGTACAACGCCAGCAGCTCTTCCCCAGCTCAGGTCGTCAGTATCGCAAGCCCTTTGGGGCCACCTCCGGCAAATGAACGTCCCTCTAGCTCTTAAGGGCAAGACGGAACTATCCTCGGCTCCAACTCCGGTTACTCCAGTAGACAAGGCTGGGACATCGATGCGCATGCTCCTGCACGATACCCAGGCGACCCTCGAGAAGTTTTCGGGACATATCGAGAGGCTCACGTCTAAGGTCGACGACGCGAAGCGCGAGGTAACAACAGCGCACAAGGCCTTTCAGTATGGACACGAGAAAATGCTAGAAGAAAGCATCGCTTTGCGTGAGTGGAAATGCGCATATACCCGACTGGTCTGCGTGGCTAGGGCAGCATACACTCCATCATACTAACTTTTCTTTCAGTGAATCGCTGTCAGACAGAGATCCAGAAGTCCGTTGGAAAACCTGCCCAATCAACTGTTTTGGATGAGACACGCCAGTCCCTCATCGTCCTTGACCGCAAGGTTGACGCTTTGGATAGGAGGGCGGACGCTTTGCATATAGTGAGCACATCTCATCAAAGCATGAGATCATTTCTCAACACAAATTGTGCCTAGCTAAACCAAACACAATTGCAAGCATTGCAAGCGATACAGGACCAGCAAGTCCAATTGCTCGCCGCTCTCGCTCCTGTTCTTCCGCTCCTCCATGCTGTGCCTTTGCACATAGACGCCACCAAAGCCGAAATTAAAGAGACCGTCCGAAACGCGTCGGATTCTTCTGTGCGACAAATCTTGGCTGAATGTATGCGCCGAAGTCACCGAGAAAACAAGCCCGGGAGCCGACCTCAAGTATGCTGTAGTCCGCCCCGCAAGAGGAAGAGAACAAACGACGGCTGCTCTGACAACTCCGACAACATTGTCGGATCTAGTCCCCCTGGAAGTATTGCTATACCGTCTCCGCTATCGCCGTCTCCTGCTATGTCTCTCGCGTCTGGTGTATCTCCTCCCCGGTCTCCATTGCCCATGGTAGAACCGTGTAGGTCAGCGATACTTTCTCAAGCATCTCTAGACCATAATCCTGCTCGACGGGCTCTGGACAACTCATCTGATACTGCGGAGGCTTTGATGACTACCGACGGATCTCACTTTGATATTCCAAGCTCCGGACCTACGACCTGCGCCCCGCCCACAACGCCCGTCCGCGGACGTGACTCTTGTTGGAGCCCCCTACCCGCAGCTGATATGTCTGTGCAACCTGCGCCTCTGGTTCCGCGACAAACTTCTCGGTGTAATGTACTGTCGTTGCTGCCTGCATCCCAATCAGCGGACACCGCGAGTACTGTACAGCCCAAGCAAAGCCCAGTCTCGCTATCGGTCATACACGCGTCGCGGCTGCATAGCCATGTGCTATCTGACCCTAACATTGCTTCGTCAGATCCTTGCTGCAACGGAACAGAGATTCGACAGCCTCGGTTACCCAGAATGGACACCGCCTGCTCAATGTCACATCCCGGGCTTCGGACTTCGGACTCTATCAGCGACAACGCAATGCTGTCGGACGCAGCCTTTGCCTCACATAGCGGCGCAGCCATTCCCCTGAAGCCAATGAGCCTCAGAGACCGACGAGCTCGTGGACTGCTGTCTGACCACGACGTGGTGAGTTTGCACACTGTATACGATCACTGAGCTTTGACTCTGTTCGCAGTGGAACGAAGGGAAGCGGTACATTCTTTTCGAAGACGAGGACGAGGACGAGAAGTGGGATGGGTGAGGATGCGGGGCGTTTGTCTGTCCGAGCGCTCGACTACCATCGCAGTGTGTACGATTGCCTTGTAACAATGCTAGCAAAACATATGGAGACAATATTGCGGGCTCTAATACGCCGAATTTGGCTCGACTCTCCCTCCTACGCCGATGACACCACATCGCGCGTAGTACTTGGCAAGCGCGAGGCGGATGATCTGCAGCCGCTGTAGCGCCCCCTTCTCATCCTTGCTCTTTGTCGTCCGCGCGAGTATGGGTAGGTAATCAGAGCCTGCATTCTGTGCAGACCTGGTACAAATCTCCTCGAGCTTGCGTAGCAGAATACACGCGTCTTCACTCGTGAATAGCATCTCTTCTGTAAGATCCAGCAGGCTGTGAGTTGACTTGATACCATAAGGAATTGCAGCGGCCAACACATACCGTTCTGCAGGAGCTCAACAGACTCGGACAGGATGACGGCCCACCACGCCTTAGGTGCGACGTCATCTCGTAACATGGCCACGATGTCGTAAGCGGCCTCATGGAGCTCACCGCTGAGCTGTCGCTGATGGAACTCGGCGAGACGCACAGCGAACATCAGCCTGTAGACAAACACACCGCTTGATATCGACTCTTGTTGAGCGCGCAGCGTTTGGAGAGACGGCGCGATATTGGCCACCAGACGCGCAAAATTTGCGGGGTCTTGAGGCGCGGTTAGCGACGGCAACTGCGGCGAGCGGAGACGGTGGGAACATACTCTGTGCGAAATATTCTTCGAGTACGCGGTCGACGATGCGTCCGAGACCAGGCCAGTCCTCTGCAGAGGTTGCGTAGGCCACCGCGAGACCGAACTCTTTTTGGTCGAGGAAGATTTGGGCGGCGATCTGCGTGGACATAATTTGTAACCGATATCTGACGCGGCGCTGGCTGTGCACGCACCCTGCAGACCGCTCGGCGCGTCCCTTCGCGCTGGTGCTCGAAGCACAAAGTGTGCACGTCTTTGAGCACGCCCGCGAGGTCACCATCGCGAATTTTGGCGCTGTCGTCGGCGGCGACCCCATCTGTGTCTCTGCGCGACAAGCGCTGAAGCTGCAGCGGTACTCGAACCAAGACCTCGTCAGCCATCTCCTTTCCGATATCACCGCAATAGCACAAGTAGCCGACCGTCAGGCGCCACAGGCCGGGATCTGTGTGAAGATACTCTGCGTAGGTCACTACGTACCATTGCCGCAGGGTCAGTCCGGAACTGGGACAGAGCCGAATATCAGCCGTCCAGTTGGCGACAATAGATGCACAAGGAAACTCACTCGGAAATATCACTGTCTATCAATCGGATGGCTTCCATGACATCCGCTAGATGTGCAGAAAGCCACGGGTCTAGCTGATGCGCCTCAGCCAACGCTTGGTGGGGCTTGCCTAGGAACAGTGATGAATGTATTGAATCTTCGAGGTTGGTAGGATCCGGTGGCATTTCGTCCAAAATGTCGACAACGATATCTCTGTAGCGCTGACGTGAATAAACACCCTTCATGAAGACAAGGTGGAACTGACGGGAGCTCATGTCTTCGTAACCGAGGGTCTACGAAAATTGTCCATGCTATACAGACCTCCTTCCAATCGGCACCCAATTCTGCGCAAACCCTCTTGAGCACCTCGGCACGACCTTCAAGGATACCAATGATGTCACTGAGCCGGTCCCACCAGTTGTCGAACCCGTCGTCTCGTGCATCTTCTGGAACACGGTCCAGCTCGATGCGTAGCGTCTTGACTTTGTCTTTCCATCGCCTTGATGCGAGCGCGAAGTCTTTCTCAGCATCGAATTGGTTGAGTCGGGGGAGGTCGGTTAGGAGTGGGGAGAGGCGTTGCGCTAAGCGTTGCAAGTGATCTGACGGATGATTTTGAGAAAGAACGTCCAGGAAGAACGCTGTTGCTTTCGAAAGCCCACGAAGGGTTGCCCTATATGTGTGGAAATGAGTATACGGCTAGATGGAGAGGACCATATAAGTAACACACCGCGTCAGGTATGGCCAAAACGTCTCGTCTTCCCAAGGCTTGTCCAGCTTGCTGAGGTGATCGCCTTCGCCAGTAGACGGTTCAATATAGTTGGTGTTCAGCCATTCCATGAGGTCATCACCGCATGGTGCGGCTTCCATTCCTATTTCAGGGATATAGAGTGCAGTGAATAGTGACCAACATGTTGCTAGCTTTCGGTAGTGGTCAGCATCGTATTGGAAGGGTTCACTTTGCGAGGGTTCGCGCTACAATGCAGTGTGAGCAGCAGGTGCATGTCGTCGACTCTGTGGCTACTCACAGAACAAAAAGCCCAGCACTCTCTACAGAAGTTATCATAGTCTATCGCTAGCTTGCGAAGCTTTTGCAAGAACTCCTCCTCCTCCCTAGGGAAGTACAGGTAAGCAGATACTCAGTAATCGCGACTGCTGCACGCACCTTCCAAGTTTTCCTAGCATCTTTTGCCTGATTAGATTTTGTATAGCAGCAAAGATGATGGAAACATCAGAGATAAACTAGAGTACGCGCTTAGTCAGGGGAAGGTTGAGTGGCCGTCCACATACAGTCCTGCGCTCCGAAAGTGGTGGATTCTGGTCTAAGGCAAAGTAAATAGGCTGATGTTTGGGATGCGTCGTTTTCAATAGAGTTGGCTCTGTCTTCCAGAAGTTAGATCAATTTAATTCCCTGTGTACCTGTGACGAACTCGTACATTGCTCGTTGGGAATATCGCGACCGAGTCGTCTCGTGGCGAGAAGGTAAGTTTCAGTGTCCTACCTGAAGTTTTGAAGCCTTCTGCGCTACCCTTTTCAAACAGCGGAGGTGTGAGTTGGACAGAGGAATATCCAGCCATCTTTCAGGGGAGAAGTTGCAGTGGATGAAGGAGGCCAGAGACCAACCTAGGGACAATGTCACGCCTCACGGGTCAATGCGCGTGACGATTCACATGATTTATGTGACACTGTCACAAACCGAGGACAGCGGCTTCGGAGGTTAGAACTTAGAATCAACGTTTGGAGACGTTTGCCATGCGGCGACAGCACAGTACAGAAATTCCGGAACATGCACATAAGTCTTGATGCTTGACAAATTACATCTTAACAGTCTCAGGGATAGGTTTGTCGAAGATGTATGCAACATCACCGGCCGTGTTCCAGGTGTGTATGTCTCCGCATGCGAGCCCACTACCCGGAAAATGAATTGTACGCCGACCCAATTCGTTTAGAAGGCGAAGCCCGCTCACTATGGCTTGTTCAAAATGATATTCTGTCTCTGGTCAGCCATTTGAACGTCCGGCTGATCTCGCCGTGAACTTCTGCAAGCGCGGGGTCCGCCGAGTCACCTACAAGCCACGGACTTCACAAAATCTGGTATGTCCCAGCTATCGGACACCTCGTCGATAATCACTACCCCGCTTAGCGTTTTAGTTGGGCGCGCTCGCTCTTACCCTGAGAACCACTCGTGTCAAACGTATTTGAAATGCTTCGATCCAACGATGGTAAGGGCAGTAGAAGGCATAATAAAAGTTTGTAAGTAGACTATACAAGCTATATAAAAACGCATCGAACGCTAAATATAAGTATTCTACAGGTATACGTACGTTAATATGCTACAAAAAAGTGAATATCCATATACGAGTGCTGATAGTGGAAGCGTTGTCCGTGACGGCAAGCAATCTCAACTGAGCTATGGATACAAAGAAGTCGCGGGGGCACGAATGCGTGGTGGTGCTGTATGTTCAGCACCTGCGGCAGCTGGGGCACTTGTTGGGGTCACCGACCATCCCACCTTGCCTGTCTTGGTCGGGGCTACGTGGCACTTAACACATGTAGGCGACAGGATATGAACGATGCTCACGCAGACTTGCAAGTTCTTTCGCAGTCGTGCGGGGAATTAGGGTGCGCCGTGCTTGTGCGGCAAGCAGGATGGTTGCATTGAGTCTATTGCGATCTGTAAGTCGTTCGACGCTTTACAGAAGACTGTGCACTCACCCACTGCTTCGAAACAGTTACGATGTGCCCGCAGCCGAATTTGCAGGGGATTGAAAGGTAGCCGCACATTGTGTTGTGGTGTGAAGGTGTAGATGTCGAGACTGGGGAAGGTCGTATGTCGATGGTGTCGTCTTCAGCACTTGCTCCTCTGTTCATATACCCCTCCTCGAACGCTCTTCATCAGGGCAGTGTCAGCAAGCCAACGCGCGCACGAGTGGGAGAAATACCAGGATCGCGGCGCGCCACAGCACAGGTAGGTGGACGGCTCAGCTCGCATCTAATGTTGGTACCATCGGAGGATGTCTCGGACTCAGCTGCTCCGAATTAGACGGTACGCCCCCGCGAGGACACCAATCGCCTTCGATCGAGGTCGAGGAGACCAACGAGGATGCCCTCTCCGCCGAATCTTAACGGCGATGCTACACGGCCCTCCATACGATCGCACCCCGCAAGCGGGTGCTTGCACAGATGGAGGCCTCCGTGCGATCTGATTATCGCTCCGGAACGCTCTATGACCTCCTAGTGATGCCTGCAGCGGGCCTTGGCTATGGAGACGGCATCTATCATCGACGGCTCTCACTAGGCGTGATGCACCGACA